GTTAAATTCTTGCTGTATCTGTAAGGTCCCTGGAGTCCCTGGTGGGTAAAAAAGGCAGGGGATAGATAGATGATCGATACATAGGTAGATAGATTGATTTGGTACCCGCATGTCTCGAGAGACAATGGAGTGAGCCTCCGGGGATGAAGTCAATTGCTGCATCTGCAGCACCAAAGTGACCATACACAAGCCTGGGCAGTGTGTCTGGAGGTCCTGGGCTGCTCACACAACAAGACCCCCTTCTTGGCCTCGCGATCCAAAGGAAAAGCAGAACAACACGCTGAGAACCAGCTGGGCTGCAGGAGTTGCTGGAAGGAGGCGTACAAGACAGAGGTGGAGCTAGCTCCTCCAGCACCTGCAGCAGCCCGCGGGGGTGCGCTGGTGGCAGGGGGTGTCCCAGGGGTGTTCAGCAGTGGCGGTGCGTATTCCAGAGGGGTGCACCGGTGGTGGCGTCCTATGGGGGTGCACCGGCGTGTGTCCCAGGGGGGCGGTGGCAATGGTGATGTCACCCCCCTTCAGGGATAATAATATAATAATAATAATTTATTATTTGTACCCCGCCCATCTGGCTGGGTTTCCCCAGCCACTCTGGGCGGCTTCCAACAAAGATGAAAAATAAACTAAAATGTCACATATTAAAAACTTCCCTGAACAGGGCTGCCTTCAGATGTCTTCTGAATGTCAGGTAGATGTTTATCGCTTTGACATCTGATGGGAGGGTGTTCCACAGGGCGGGTGCCACTACCGAGAAGGCCCTCTGCCTGGTTCCCTGTAACTTGGCTTCTCACAGTGAGGGAACCGCCAGAAGGCCCTCGGAGCTGGACCTCAGTGTCCGGGCAGAACGATGGGGGTGGAGACGCTCCTTCAGATATACTGGATGACACACGGGGCGGCCCACCCCCTACTGCACCCCTCCTTTCTCCACCAGTGGTGCAAGGCACCATCCAACCTCCTTAGGAGCTCCACTCCTGAGATATCTTTTTGTATCTTGCATTTCCCCAAGACCAGGACTCAAGGTGGCTCACACAAATTTAAAAAAAAACACAGCTTTTTCTGTTGTGAACTGCCCCAGGATCTTCGGATGAAGGGGGGTATGCGAATGTAATAAAATTATTTATAAGGTTAAAAAAAATGAAAGGTAAAGGACTCCTGGACGCTTGTGTCCATTTCGCCCAACGTCCGCTGCAAACCCGGAAGTAACCGGTGGGTTTGCTGCTGGTAGCGCATGCGCAGGAGCGGCAATCGCTGCCCATGCCTGCACACAATGGCACCTCTCCCAGCGACCTGTTTTGACCTCCGGCGGACCTCCAGGTGGATTATGGTCGCAGGTAGAGGTTCCACTAAATAGGTAAAGGTAAAGGCAAGACCCCTGGGCGGTTAAGTCCAGTTAAAGGCAACTATGGGGTTGTGGCGCTCATCTCGCTTTCAGGCCAAGGGAGCCAGCGTTTGTCCACAGACAGCTTTCCAGGTCATGTGGCCAGCAGGACTAAACTGCTTCTGGTGCAATGGGACACTGTGACGGAAACCAGAGTGCAGGGAAACACCAATTACCTTCCCACCACAGTGGTATCTATTTATTTACTTGAACTGGTGTGCTTTCGAACTGTTAGGTTGGCAGGAGCTGGGACAGAGCAACGGGAGCTCACCCCGTCGCGGGGATTTGAACCTCTGACCTTAAGGTCACTGAACTAAGGATCTACAAAGTCACATTGCAGCATAAAGTCATTGGATGTGCACCAGAGCAAGAGGTTCCCTTGTGTATTGAATCAGCATAATCGATTTTAATCACACTTTATGCCTTAATTGGTTTACCGATGCCAAGATGTCTGCGTTATCAACAACTGTTTTTTAATGGCCCTTATTATAAGGTAATTATCACCACCTATAATTTTCTGCCTTTCATTTCCTTCTGAACCCACCGTGTACAATTGCACACACCCCATAACTGTGTGTGTTTGTGTGTGTAATTCAGGATAACAACCCATGAATCTGATGAAGTAGGCATAAAGCCCACGAAAGCACCATAATAAATTTGCTAGCCTTTCAGGTGTCACAAGACTCTTTGCTGTTTTGTCCTGAAACTTGTTATTCCAAGTAATACTACAGCTATTGAGGACGCTGGCGATGTTGCAAAGAATCAGTTTTAAAGTAATCTAATCATTCTGTTCCCTGAAGCAAAACTTCTCAAAAAGCACGCAGCCTTGCTAACCAGAGCAATATTCCAAACACTTCTGAGCCAGCCTAAAATTGGTGAAGCTGCGGTATTTTACATTTAGTGGAACCTGTGCTCCAATGTTATTCTTTTTTTGTTTGATTGTGGACAAGATAAGCTTTAGGTTAGGCATCTAAATCGAGCAGAGGTTCATTTGCCTGCTCTTTCCTGTCGAGCGAAATGATTGGCGCTACCAGTGCATCAAAAAATAAAGGACAGGGGAGAAGAAGCTGCGAAAATGACCATCTCATTGTTTGCCTTGAGACCATTTCTCAAACTCTTGATTTGTTTCGAGCCTTGCGGACAGAAGGCAGCCGCCTTCTTCTCTCTGCAGCCAATATAATCCCAAATCCATATTTATTGGGATCCTTACAGCTCCACCTTATTGACTCAACGTCGCTCTCTAAACAATAGCCGAAAGGAACAAGGATCTCTCATCGCCACCCGCCCTGAGACAAGAGCCTTTAAATATAAAATGGGAGAGATAATAAATGATGTCAGCTGTAGTATCCCATTAGATAAATATTGCTCAGTATTAATTGCTATGTTGTTCAAATACTGGCTCCCAGGTGTCTGCTGTCCTCTTGAGACACCTCAAGTTCTTCTGCAGAGATGGAAGTATTTGGGAGTAATGCGGGCAGGGGGTAGGAGTTCGAGATTCTTCCTGCCAGTCCCACTCCCAGCCAGTGATGGAGATGGGTCATCTGACACACCAGACCCCATGGCCTCCTCACAAGCATAAGTATAAAGTTTTGCCTGCATTGCAGGAAGTTGAATTTAATGGACCTTTGGGTCCCTTCTGACTGTACAGGTCTATGATTCCATTTACTGTATGCTTGTGAAACGGGGACCATAAACGCCATCTCCAAATCCTCGAAAGATTCAGTCAACGGTGTCTCCGAAAAATTGTACACATCGCTTGGGAAGACAGGCGAACTAATACCAGTGTAGTGGAAGGAGCAAAGATCACCAGTGTCAAAGCAATGATTCTTCAACATCAACTGAGTTGGACTGGTCATGTTAGGCAGATGCCTGATGATCGTCTTCCAAAGCAACTATTCTATTCTGAACTTAAAAATGGAAAGCATAATCCTGGTGGTCAACAAAAGAGGTTTGAAGACTCTCTCAAGGCAAATCTAAAAAAAATGTTGTATAAACACCGACAACTGGGAAACACTGGCCTGCGAACGCTCCAGTTGGAGAACAGCCTTTACCAAAGGTGTCACGGGCTTTGAAGATGCTCGAACTCAGGATGAAATGGAGAAATGTGCTAGGAGGAAGGCACACTTGGCAAACCCTCACCAGGATCAACTTTCACCCAACTTTCAATCCAGAATTGGCCACCACAGTCACTTATGGGCTCAGTGTTAAAACCGTCTCTGCTCCTGCCAACCTAGCAGTTCAAAAGCATGTCAAAGTGCAAGTAGATAAATAGGTACCGCTCCAGCAGGAAGGTAAACAGCATTTCCGTGCATTGCTCTGGTTTGCCAGAAGCGGCTTAGTCCTGCTGGCCACATGACCCGGAAGCTGTATGCCGGCTCCCTTGGCCAATAAAGTGAGATGAGCGCCGCAATCCCAGAGTCGGTCACGACTGGACCTAATGGTCAGGGGTCTCTTTACCTTTACGGAAGACAATCTTACTCAGCTCTGAGGGATTGCCGAAGAAGAAGAAGAAGAAGAAGAAGAAGAAGAAGAAGAAGAAGAAGAAGAAGATTCCATGTAAACTAATGCAAAGACTGCCAGAACATAGACACCAGAAATTGGGCTATGCCCGTCCAGATTGGAGTGTAGCTAGGCCACCAGCCGAAGCTGATGGAAGGCTCTTTGCCCTACCAAAGTCATCTGAGCTTTTTTGTGGATCCAGAAATACCCACAAGCTATGTCCCTGCTCCTTCAGAGAGAGTGTAACCCCATCTGGAGCAGGCCACACCCTACCCATCCTGTCTAGGGAGCCACCCACTAATAGTGCTTCACTCTTGCCTGGATTGAGCATAAATGTTTGTTGGCTCTCGTCCAGGCCATTGCTGAGGCCAGACGTCAGTCTAGCACACCCCCCGCCACACCTGCAGGTGTCAAGGAGAAGCAGAACTGAGGATCATCAAGGTGTTGCTGGCAACGCGCTCCGAGACTCCAGGTGGCCCCACTCAGCAGTTTCATGCGGATGTTGAACAGCAGGAGGGGGAGGGTTAAAATTGAACCCTGTGGAACCCCACACCGGAGACTCCATTGGGCAGAAGAACACTCCCCAAGCACCGCGCTCTGGAGACGGCCATCCATGTAGGATTGGGAACACTCACCCCTAATTCAGGGAAGCCGTTCCGGAAAAATAACATGTTCAATGGTATTGACAGCCGCTGGGTGACTGAGCAGGATTTCAAGGGACACTTGTTGTTGTTTAGTTGTTTAGTCATGTCCGACTCTTCGTGGCCCCATGGACCAGAGCACACCAGGCACTCCTGTCTTCCACTGCCTCCTGCAGTTTGGTCAAACTCATGCTGGTAGCTTCGAGAACACTGTCCCACCATCCCGTCCTCTGTCGTCCCCTTCTCCTTGTGCCCTCCGCCTTTCCCAACATCAGGGTCTTTTCCAGGGAGTCTTCTCTTCTCATGAGATGGCCAAAGGATTGGAGCCTCAGCTTCTGGATCTGTCCTTCCAGTGAGCACTCAGGGCTGATTTCCTTCAGAATGGAGAGGTTTGATCTTCTTGCAGTCCATGGGACTCTCAAGAGTCTCCTCCAGCATATTTCTCCCTGCAAAGGTCATCACACAGGGTGACCAAAGGCATTTCCATGTCAAAGCCCAAACCCCAGTTGAAATGGGTCTGGAAGAGTGGTTTCCTCCAAGAGAGCCTGGATCTGACCCACAACCCCACACTCAGGGTCCATGCCCAAGAAGGGAACGTGAGCAACTGGCCGGTAATTAATTGTATTTTCTGAATCCAGCGAGCATTTTTTAAGGAATGCTTTTATCATTGCCTCTCCCCCATCCCTTTTTAATTTTTTTTCCCAATGCAAAATTACAACAGAAATTACAAACATTGAATCAAAAATAAAGCAATACAAACAAACAAAACAAAACAAAACACTAGAAAGAAACATACAGACAAAAACAACAACAAAAAAACCCTCTACAAATAAATCCATATCATCATTCTGATCGTTGCGTACGTATACACATATTGATTTCCTTCCTTTGTTCTAAGACCTCGAAATTTTAACTCTTTCTAAATTGTTGTGTCTAATGTAGATTAAAGGTAAAGGGACCCCTGACCATTAGGTCCAGTCGTGGCCGACTCTGGGGTTGCGGCGCTCATCTCACTTTATTGGCCGAGGGAGCCAGCGTCATGTGGTCAGCATGACTAAGCCGCTTCTGGCGAACCAGAGCAGCGCACGGAAACGCTGTTTACCTTCCCGCCTGAGTGGTACCTATTGATCTACTTGCACTTTGACATGCTTTCGAACTGCTAGGTTGGCAGGAGCTGGGACCGAGCAACGGGAGCTCACCCTGTCGCGGGGATTCGAACTGCCGACCTTCTGATCGGCAAGTCCTAGGCTTTGTAGTTTAACCCACAGCGCCACCCTAGTCCACAATGTAGATTACTTCTGTCTTTATACTTTTTGCACCATTTTTCTCTTTCTTTAATCCTGCAAGGCTTCATTCGTTACATACTGATATACTTACTCCAGAACAATGTTTTTCATATACTCTTTAGCACATCCCCATTCTTTTAATAATTTTGGGTTCGATTGTCCCATTTATGAATACTGTGAGTCTTGCCAGATGTATATATTCACAAATTTTAATTGATAGAATTTTTCTCCCTTTCCAGTTTTTATGAGCATCCTGGCAGCTGTTGTTGTGTAGATATCATTGCCTCTTTTAGGCAGGCGGAGGACCCCCCAAACACACAACTCTCAAGGAGGCAACCAATTCAGAGGGGAAGGGTATAAATAAATTTGTTGTCAGCAGAAATGTATCGGACAAGTACAAGGTTTTTTGTGTGTGGCTTTTTCTGTTTTTTGACTGTGACTTGTTCTTCATTTTATGGGACTGACTTGTGACTGTGGCTTGTGACTTCCTTTCTGTGACTTGTTTTTGTGACTGTGTGGAACCCATTTCAGCTACTGATTGATTGATTGATTGATTGTGTGACTGCAGAAATGGATAAAAGCCCCCCATCCAAACAATGACTATCATCAGTGCATGTAAGGGAATATATATATATTATCTACAATACTATCTTATTTATTTTATAGTACAGTACATTGAATATTGCTTTCATTTTATGGATCAATTGCTTCTTTAGATAGTAAAATCCATGTTAAATTGCTGTTTTAGGGGTTGTTTTTTAAAAGTCTGGAATGGATTAATCCATTCTGCATTACTTTCTATGGGAAAGTGTGCCTTGGTTTTGGAACACTTTGGTTTTAGAACAGATTTCCGGAACAGATTAAGTTTGAGAACCAAGGTACCACAGTACTCTGTCATTATTTTTATTATTAATTTATTGAGTTTATATACCGCCCTATACCCGGAGGTCTCAGGGCAGTTCACAGAAAAGATCACAATATATATAATCAGAATAAAAACAACAACCCAATAACCCTCCCCCAAGAAAAGAGCCACATTTTAAAAGGGTATAGGATGTCAGTCAGGTCCACCAAAGGCCTGGTTAAAAAGGAATGTTTTTAAGGTGTATAATGAAGGTGCCAGGTGAACTTCCCTGGGGAGAGCATTCCACAGACAGGGAGCCACCACAGAGAAGGCCCTGTTCTCGTGTTGCCACCCTCTGGACCTCTCGAGGAGGAGGCACACAAAGGAGGGCCTCAGAAGATGATCTCAGGTTCCAGGTAGGTTCAGATGGAAAGAGGTGGTCCTTGAGGTATTGCGGTCCTGAGCCACTGAAGGTTTTATAGGTCAAAACCAGCACTTTGGATTGGGCCCGGAAACTAATTGGTAACCAGTGCAGTTGAACCAGGGTCGGTGTAATATGCTCAGACCGTCTTGCTCCAGTGAGCAACTTGGCTGCTGAAATCTGCACTGGCTGTTAAGTGTTAAGTTGTGGATGTACATATCAGACGACAAAGCAATTCTTCCAACAGCTCTTGTTTATTCACAGGCCAGAACAGAACTGAACTGAAGGGTTCAGCCAACCTGCTTATATAGAGCTCCACTACAAAGCAACAGTAACAACTTTCTGTAACTGTCCAATCACTGAACGTCACTTTCAATTCCTTATATGCATATGCGGACCTGAGTGAAAACCATCTACAGTATCCCCCTGCTGGCCCAGGGTGAGAACTTCAGTACATAACATGAAGTTTCCAAACCGTCTCCAGAGGCAGCCCTACGTATAACGCATTGTCATGATCCCCCTAAAAGGGTGTCATCGCATCCTCTCCCCACCCCCGCCCTCTCTGGCATCCAGTTCCGATTGTGAGCTGCTTGGGGCTGTGACCTCTGACCCCTTAAAGCAGTTATACGCATTGATTTTTTTAAAAATAGAATAATATAAGCAAAACATCAAACTGTCGTCTTTGCAGCCTGAGAGGCGCAGGTAAGCTGCTCTAAGCTCCCCACAAAGGAATTAAAAACCACAATGTTATTTATTAAATCCGTAATCTGGATACTGTCGGTTTATTTGATTCCATTCAAGGATCCCGTCCTGTGAAATATCTCAAGGCGACGTCACAGAAAACACACACGTAAAAAGCGATTAAAAACAACTCTATACGTGAAGAGAGTTTAAAACAGTTCCCTTTAATGCACATGTAGTATATGACTGTTTTAAAAGGCTTTTAAGTGCTTTTGATTTCCCCCTAATGTTTTAGATACGTTTTAAATTGTAAGGATCTGATAACTTGTTGTTTGATGCCCTCCTCACTCTCCCAGTCTCCCTTTGGAGGAAGATCAGGACAGAAATCCATTAATTTATTTAATTATTAAATTAATTAATTAATTAATTAATTAATTAATTGGTGGTGGTGATGATGATGATGATGATGATTACAGCAGTAGTAATAACAATTAGTACCGGCATAGCGGTGGTGTAATAGTTAGAGCATTGGACTAGGACCTGGGAGAGGGAATGTTTTTTCATATGTGGAGGACCTGCAAAAGGGTAAAAGACTATTGGGGAATAATTCATAATGATTGAGGGGGGAAAGTTTAAAAGTACAGTCATACCTCATGTTACGTCCGCTTCATGTTACGTTCCTTCAGGCTATGTCCCACGGTGACCCGGAAGTACTGGAAAGAGTTACTTCCGGGCTTCGCCGCTCGCGCATGTGCAGAAGCGCAAAAATGACGGCACGCGCATGCGCAGAAGCGGAGAGTTGCAACCCGCGCGTGCGCAGACGTGCCACTGCGGGTTGTGCTCTTTTCATGTTGCGAACGGGCCTCCAGAACGGATCCCATTCGCAACCAGAGGTACTACTGTATTTTTCCAAAAAAAGCACACCCAGAGTCTTTTTGTGGATAATTCAGACAGAAATTCCCAGGTGTCAAAAAAAGGTTATTTATGTATGCCACTACTGCGGCCCATTTTTTTTTGTTAGCCCTAAAATGGAAAACGAGCGAGGTCCCAACTTAAAGAAGAATGGCAGCTTAAACTGATGGAATATGCGCAGCTTGCAGACTTTACATACAGAATAAGAGAACAAGAAGAACATACGTTTAAAGAAGATTGGAAAATGTTTATTGAATATACAGGGGGAAATTGTGTATATTTGAAAACGTGGGTGGCATTAAGATAAATCCAACAGTGTGAACAAGTTTTGATGGATGTAATAATGGTTAGGTTTATGTAAAATATGCAGTGATTTATGTTACGCAAAATGAACCACGGAAAGAGACGAAGGGAAGTCATTGACATTTTAAAGTTGTTGAAATATACCCGGAGTCAAGTGTGGATTTCTTGCTCTTTATTCAGCTCATAGTGGTGAGGAGGAATGGAAGTTCCCCAGAATGTCTGCCTTATATACATTATTTACACAATGGGCCCCACGTGATTGGCTAATTCCGGGATTCACCTGTAGGCCAATCAGGTTGTGGATTTACTTCCACCTGGAGCTGGATTGGGTGGCTCCTGTGGACCAATCAGACTGCTGCATTCTGAATCCTATTGTTCTAGGACCAATCAGACTGCTGCCTTTTGGATCCTCTTCAACTCAGTACATAACAGTTGTTTAAATGAATATTCTAAAATGTAAAAAGGAAATTTAATAAAAATTAGAGGGGGGAATTGAATGGAGGTGGGGAGGAACCTTGCACGCTGCCTTGAGCCCCTTAGGGGAGAAAAAAGTTGGGGTATAAATGCAAAAAACAGACTTTCTTCCCTTCTGCGCCAGGTCTGCCCGTCTCACAAGCCATCCAACTCCTGCAGGAGAAGCTCGCTGCCTTCCGGGTGACTCTTCCGGACTTCCACCTGCGTGCCGTCTGCGATTACTTCCACAACACCTTCATCAAACATTACGGGCTGCACCAGTTCGTCCTGGCTCAGGAGAGGGACCGCTGCCAGACCTTTGCCAGCCTGGAGGTGTACGCTCCCCCCAAGCCCCTGCCGCTGAGGCGGGGGACGGAAATAAGGGCCTGGAAGTACCAGCAGCAGCTGGCCGCAGTCTCTGCAGCGGAGGAGGAAAAGCAGGCCGAAATGGAGTGGATCAGGGCAACCTTGTGCAAAGAGAGGGAGAACATGCTGGAGGAGGTCTACAGGAGTGTCCGGACGCAAACGGCGACCCTGGAGAAAGAGGTGAGCTTGGGGCAAAAGCCTAACTCCCGACTCCGTCGTAGCAGCCTCTTCTCGCAGCAGCCAGCTGCACTGATTTCTTTTACAGTGGTACCTCGGGGTTACATACGCTTCAGGTTACAGACTCCGCTAACCCAGAAATAGTGCTTCAGGTTAAGAACTTTGCTTCAGGATGAGAACAGAAATCGTGCTCTGGCAGCGCAGCAGCAGCAGGAGGCCCCATTAGCTAAAGTGGTGCTCCAGGTTAAGAACAATTTCAGGTTAAGAACGGACCTCCGGAACAAATTAAGTACTTAACCCGAGGTACCACTGTATTACTATTTGCTCCATAAAATTTATGCATTGTGTAAACAACAAGAGCACCTCAAAGCAGTTTGCAAAAAGATAAATCCATGGCATCAATAATAATAAAAAAATCGCAGCAGCAGCAGCAACAACAACAATTTATTTATACCCCGCCCATCTGGCTGGGTTTCCCCAGTCACTCTGGGCGGTTCCCAACAGTTGATTAAAAAGACGATGAAACATAAAACATTAAAAGCTTCCTTACACAGGGCTGCCTTCAGGTGTCTTCTAAAAGCCAGATAGTTGTTTATTTCCTTGACATCTGACAGGAGGCATTCCACAGGGTGGGTGCCACCACCGAGAAGGCTCTCTGCCTGGTTCCCTGTAACTTCCCTTCTCGCAGGGAGGGAACCGCCAGAAGGCCCTTGGAGATGGACCTCAGTGTCCGGGGAGAACGATGGGAGTGGAGACGTTCCTTCAGGTATACTGGGCTGAGGCCATTTAGGACTTTAAAGGTCAGCACCAACACTTGGAATTGTGTCTTTCAGTACCGGTGTTATGTGGTCTCAGTGGCCGCTCCCAGTCCCCAGTCTAGCTGCCGCATTCTGGATTAGTTGTAGTTTCCGGGTCACCTTCAAAGGTAGCCCCACGTAGAGCGCATTGCAGTAGTCCAAGCAGGAGATAACCAGAGCATGCACCACTCTGGCGAGGCAGTCCACAGGCAGATAGGGTCTCAGCCTGCGTACCACATGGAGCTGGTAAACAGCTGCCCTGGACACAGAGTTGACCTGTGCCTCCATGGACAGCTGTGAGTCCAAAATGACTCCCAGGTTGTGCACCTGGTCCTTCAGGGCCACAATTACCCCATTCAGGACCAGGGAGTCCTCAACATCTGCCTCCCCCTGTCCCCCAAAAGCAATACTTCCATCTTGTCAGGATTCAACCTCAATCTGTTAGCGCCATCCATCCTCCAATGGTTTAATACAAAACTATGAAAGCACATCAAAATTCACACCATCTTTCTAAGCATCTGGGTAGGCTTATCTAAACAGGAATGCCTACAGCAGACGCTGAAAGGAATATGGTGAAGGCGCCTGCTTGAGATCAATGGGCAGGGAGTTCCAAAGTGCACCAAATGACCAAGAGCCAGCAAATGAGGGCCGGGGTATTGTGCGGATTGAAGCAGTCGAGTGGGCACCTGTCGGGGTAAGGCGATCTTGTGTCCCCAGCTGTTAAGGTCTTTCTATGCTAATAGTAAAGGGGCGCGGGTGGTGCTGTGGGTTAAACCACAGAGCCTAGGGCTTACCGATCAGAAGGTCGGCGGTTCGAATCCCCGTGATGGGGTGAACTCCCGTTGCTCGGTCCCTGCTCCTGCCAACCTAGCAGTTCGAAAGCACTTCAAAGTGCATGTAGATAAATTGGTACCGCTCCGGCAGGAAGGTAAACAGCGTTTTCGTGCGCTTCTCTGGTTCACCAGAAATGGCTTAGTCATGCTGGCCACATGACCCAGAAGCTGTCTGCAGACAAATGCCAGCTCCCTCGGCCTATATAGTGAGATGAGCACCGCAACCCAGAGGGACCCCTGACCATTAGGTCCAGTCGTAGCCAACTCTGGGGTTGCGGCACTCATCTCGCTTTACTGGCCGAGGGAGCCGGCGTACAGCTTCCGGGTCACGTGGCCAGCATGACTAAGCCGCTTCTGGCGAAACCAGAGCAGTGCACGGAAACGCCGTTTACCTTCCCGCTGGAGCGGTACCTATTTATCTACTTGCACTTTGACGTGCTTTTGAACTGCTAGGTTGGCAGGAGCAGGGACCGAGCAACGGGAGCTCACCCCATCGAGGGGATTCGAACCACTGACCTTCTGATCGGCAAGTCCTAGGCTCTGTGGTTTAACCCAGAGCGCCACCCCTTTATGCTAATAGTAACATCTGGAACTTGACACTTCAGTTCCTGGCAACTGGGGTTCAGAAGCTCACTGCCTTTAGCAGTAGTGGTTAGTGGCTGTTGATTCAAACCTCCAGCATCTCCCTGTTTTCCCCTTGCCTTGCTGCAGCCCCCTAGGTAATCCCACCGGCCCCCAGGGTGTGGTACTGCCCACTTTGGGATCTAGCACATCGATCCCAGTTTTCACCACAGGTTCCACTCGCTGCAAAACTACACCCTTTGAGTCTCCCGCTTCCGGCAGCCTGTTGACAGCACCTCAGAGTTACATCTGTGGCTGCCTCGTCCAAAACTTTCTCCCCAGCCCTGATCTGCATAATCAAGCTGCGACGCGTCTTATCGCCCTCGAGATGGAAAATCTCCTCCTTGCCGAGACTTGCTTCCCTGCCTGGGAGCGCACTGTTTGAGGAAACCGAATGAAACTCCGACGTGTTTTTACTATGACTGCCAGCCCATCTACGGAGTGGAATTAATTGGCAATTAATGCTTACACGTGTGCTCCTCAACGCGCTGCCAGAAACGGCCGCGGGTGAGTTCAGAGAACGTCACCTTTTGAACTCGAGCCGAGACGTCTATCCTGGAGCGCTCAGTGGGTTGTTCAGCGTACCACCCTGTGCACAAACGGGGGGGAAAACCCCAGCACCCATCCTTCCCGGTTCCTCGGATTGGGTCCCGCTGCCATGGACGTCCTCAAGATCCGTTGGCTCTCCTCCAACCTCGATCAGCTCCTGGGAGCTTGGCAAGAGGCCAGTCCTCACAGCTGCCTGACGGCTTCTGATGACAAGTATCACAAACGTTGCCTCCCTGGCCCACATTGGCCCCACACTCTCTCCCCGGCCCCTCCCCGGCCTTCTTGCCAGTTCCCAAGCTCCACCCTGGCTTCTCGGAATGCGCAAGGTCAAAACCTTTCCAGAGCTAGTCGCTGAGAAGCGGCAGGCCTTGCAAATATCGGGGGCAAACATGGCGGCCGGCGGCGGCCATGTTTGTTTACGATGCACCTGTTTGGCAAGCAGGTGTGGGAATCTAATTTTGACAGTGAAAGGGGGGGTGCATACCCTCCAAGTGTCCCAATTTCCCAGGGAAAGTCCAGGAATCACAGAAGCCGTCCTAGTTTCTGATTTGATTTTTCCTTTTTCCACATCTCGGAGAGGAGAACACGTTAAGATGGAGATGGTTGCCAAGTTTCTGCAACATGCAATGAGAATTTGCGAATGCTATACCACAGCAATTTAATTGTTAGGTGCCGATTTTGCCGGGTGATTTTATTGTACTGAAGCTTTCAGAATTTTGTGGTAGCTCGGGTTAAAGACTTTAATTCGTTCTGGAGGTACGTTCTTAACCTGAAATTGTTCTTAACCTGAAGCACCACTTTAGCTAATTGGGTCTCCCGCTGCCACCTCCACGCAATTTCTGTTCTCATCCTGAAGCAAAGTTCTTAACCTGAGGTACTATTTCTGGGTTAGCGGAGTCTGTACCCTGAAGCGTCTGTAACCTGAAGCATCTGTAACCTGAAGCGTCTGTAACCCGAGGTACCACTGTATATGCCAATAACGATTTGAGGTTGAGGTTGACATGCTCAACAACCTCAAACGACCTTGCTGTGCTAGGTAACCATTTTGGAAGCCCAGGCAGCAAGCCCAGGTTCATTCTAAGTCTAGCAGAAACGTCAGTAGCCACAATGCCCTGTGTTTGTTTTCCAGACTCTGATGTCTCTTGTCCGAGAAGCGATTAAGGCCCAGGTCCAGAGTCTGCACGATATCATCCAGAACGAGATCCAGGCCACCTTTGAAATCCTTCAGCTCCGGCTCCAGAAGAAGGCCTTGCTCCTCAACCCGCCTGCCCCTTACCCGCCACCCTACAGCCCTGATGGGAGGAAGACCAGCAAGCAGAAGAAGCTGAAGGATTTAATATTGGAGGCTCAGATTAAGGAGAAGGAGAAGGAGGAGAGGGAGAGGGAGAAGGAGAGGGAGAAGGAGAGGGAGAAGGAGAAGAAGGCGGAGAAGAAAGCGCAGAAGGCGGCGCAGAAGGCTGCGAAAGACGAGAAGTCAAAGAAGAAAAAGAAGTGAGGGCAGCATTGAGGTTCTCCCAGGCATGCCCTGACATTCTCAATCCCATGCCTGTGTTCTCTCTTCCAGGTCTTCTTCGTCCTCTGGCCTTGAGGAGGATTCTCAGTGCCAAAGTAAATCTGTGCCTGGGGCTTCCCCACTTCAGACTGCAGGTGGGACCTCACTTTCCTTCAAATACATCCCATAGAAAACTTGCGCGTCAGGGGGGAAGTGCCGTGGCCTTGCCTTCCTCTCTGACACGCTGGTTTTCCATGGAGATAATTTTCTCTCCCTCGTTCACGTGAACCCCTCCAACTTGTGGCCTTCAGCTGTCTCGTCCAGACACGGGTTAACTCCCTCACTGAGAACAAAGCCGAAGTCTCTTTGTTCACAGGGGTAGAGATTTACAAAGAAACCCAGACAGATGTGTGCACCTAAATGTAGATGCAATGTTCACCAAAACGTCAGAGGTTTTCGTTCCATCTTTCTCAACAAAAATTCTTCCTGCCAGGCCTATGGAAGGATGAAGAGACTGTTATGGATGCTGCAAAGGGGTTCATCGTGAGCTCCCTCTGTCTTTACTCTTCCAAATAAACTAAAACATTTAATATTTCTTTCAACTCAAGCTGGCGTGTGGGGTTTTTTTTGGGGGGGGGCATTGTTTTAAATAGCCCTCTGAGTTCCCCCTGGCAGGCAATCCTGAAAACAGTCTGCTTAAGCCGGCGTAGCCCTGTTTGCTAGTTCGCAGCCTTCGGTCCCGATCCAGCTTCTGGCTGCGCACAGAGTGTGGCTGGGAATTTGTCAAAATGTGACGCATCCTATTCAAAGGGATAGACCACATTTGTTGGCGATAATGGGCACAGAATCCCAATTGCACACATACTGACCCTCCAAGTGTCCCTATTACAGAAGTCACCCCGGTTTCTGATTTAATCCCAGAATGTCCTCCTTTTCCTTCAGACGTCCCTGATTTCGTCTGAGAAGTGTTGGAGGGTATGGAATGGGACGTCCCTATTTTCATTGGAGAAATGTTGGAGGGTATGGAATGGGACATCCCTATTTTCATTGGAGAAATTTTGGGGGGTATGGAATGGGACGTCTCTATTTTCATCGGAGAAATGTTGGAGGGTATGGAATGGGACATCCCTATTTTCATCGGAGAAATGTTGGAGGGTATGGAATGGGACATCCCTATTTTCATTGGAAAAATTTTGGAGGGTATGGGATAGGATGTCCCTATTTTCAATCGGAGAAATGTTGGAGGGTATGGAATGGGACGTCCCTATTTTCATCGGAGAAATGTTGGAGGGGGTGTAATCAACGTAAACTAGATCAGTCTGGTTATTTCAATGCATTGTTATTACCCAGTCCTCAGCATTCAGGGAGAATGTTTGGAAATCTAAGTAAGCGAGTTGGCACACTATGTTGCAGTAGGGAGTAAATATCACACACACACACACACACACACACACACACACACACACACACTATTTAAAAGCACGTAAAACAAATCCAGATATTTTAAGCAAATCCAGTGGCATTTAACCTCTCATTCCGCTCAGGTCTTCCTCTTTAGGAACCTCTCACTTCTGCCCTTTCGTAAACAAATCAAACAGGAAGGTAAGTCAGCCTTGGGGACCCCACCCTTCCCAAACACCCCATCCATTGCTTTCGACTTCTGAGCCATCGTCTTGAGAGTCTTGCTCTCGCCTTCCATGGGGTTTCAAGGGAAGATCAGACACTGTCTGAATCCTGAATCCAAGCAGATTGGGCAATTTCCTTCCTGAGACCACGGCAAGACGACTAATGTCCTTGAAATATACTCGGAGTCCTGATTTCATGCTCTTTATTGCAGCTTGTAAAACAGACAGTGAATTGCCCCCCCAAACCTCAGGCTTTTCTATACATTATTTACACAATGAGTCCCGTCTGATTGGCTGATTCTGCTTCCCTCCTGGAGCCTGATTGGTCTTTTCCTGCAGACCAATCCGTTGTCGCATTCTACGATCCTACCAGCCTAATAGGCTGATTAACTTCCTCCTGGAGCCTGATTGGTCTTTTCCTGCAAGCCAATCCGGTGTTGCATTCTAGGATCCTACTTGCCTATTGTTCTAGGATCCAAGGTTAGGAAATAACACCCCCACTCTCCCCAGAGCTCATAGGGAGGGACGTGATCACCGTGACAGGGTCCCCAAGACCCAGAACTTACTGGAAATAAGAGGGAAAGGTCTGTGGTTGGGGAATGGGGAAAGGAGCTAATACGATGGAAATATCTAAGATGAAAGAAGCAGCAGTTGAATGGGGATATGTTCATAGAATCATAGAATCTTAAGAGTTGGAAGGGACCCAGGGGTCATCTAGTCCAACCCCCTGCAAGGCAGGGATCTCAGCTAAAGCATCCATGACAGATGGCCACCCAACCTCTGCTTAAAAACCTCCAAGGAAGGAGAATTCACAACCTCCCAAGGGAGTCCGTTCCACTGCCAAACAGCTCTTGCGGTCAGAAAGTTTCTACGCATGTTTAGTCGGAATCACCCTACTTGTAACTTGGAGCCATGGGTTCCAGAGCAGGAGAAAACAAGCTTGCTCCATCTCCCACGTGACAGCCCTTGAGGAATTTGAAGATGGCTATCCTATCTCCCTTGAGTCTTCTCTTTTCCAGGCTGTGAACGTTTCTGTGTTCAAACAGCGGTGCCGCAGTTAATGAAGGTAATTGAGGAGCAAGCTCTGTGACTTAGCCAGCCTTGTTAATTACGGCATGAAGAACTTCCAGGAAGAGACATTATTCCCCAGGGAATTGGCCCTTAGACTTCAGGGTGTGATGTGACATGATAGCCATCTTCAAAGATGGGCTGTCCCGTGGAAGATCCTGTCGTTTCTGCTGCTTCGGAGGGTAATAATAAAAATAAATTTTATTTATACCCCGCCCTCCCCAGCGAAGACCGGGCTCAGGGCGGCTAACACCAGGTATAAAAAACAATTGATTGAAATAAAACTTAAAAACAAGATTAAAATGCAACATTAAAATGCAGCCTTGTTTTAGCAGAAACTCGAAAACGTTTTGGGGGATGAAAACGTCAAGTTTTCACCAAGGCTAACTAGCCAGACTGGTCCTAGGTGGGCCAGAAAAAAGCCAGGGAAGTCCCCAAATAGGGGTTCCATCACAGAAGGAGAAAGGAAAGAGGGGGAGGGGAACAGGATGATTCCAAGCCAAAGGCCAGGCAGAACAACTCCGTCTTACAGGCCCTGCGGAAAGAAATCAGATCCTGCAGGGCCCTGGTCTCCTGAGGCAGAGCGTTCCACCAGGAGCCAGTGTTGAAAAGGCCCTGGCTCTGGTTGAGGCTAATCTGACTTCCTTAGGGCCCGGGACCTCTAGGGTGTTGATGAGGTTACTCTCCCTCTGACGGAGCGGGTTCGGAGCTTGGGGGTGTTCATGGCTCTTTTGCTGTCGCTCGAGACTCAGGTGGCCTCAGTGGTCCAGAGTGCCTTCCATCAGCTTCGGCTGGTGGCCCAGCTACGCCCCTGTTTGGATAGGGACTGCCTAACTACTGTTGTCGAGCTTCAAGGTTAGATTACTGCAATGCATTATACATGGGGCTGCCTTGAAGACAGTTCAGGAACTTCGGCTGGGGCAGAATTCAGCAACCAGGTTGCTCACCAAAGCAAGATGGTCTGAGCATATTACACTGATCCTGGTCCGACTGCACTGGCTACCAATTAGTTTCCAGGCCCAATTCAAAGTGCTGGTTTTGACCTATAAAGCCTTAAATGGCTCAGGACTGCAATACCTCAAGGACCGCCTCTTCCCAGTCCCTGTGCTCATCCTCTGAGGTTCTTCTTCATGTGTCTCCTCAATGAGAGGGCTAGAGGGCAGCAACACGAGAACGGGGCCTTTTCTGCGGTGGCTCTCTATTTGTCGAATGCTCTCCCCAGAGAGGTTCACCTGGCACCTTCATTAAACATCCTTAAAGTAAAGGTAAAGGGACCCCTGACCATTAGGTCCAGTCGCAGGTGACCCTGGGGTTGCGGCGCTCATCTCGCTTTACTGGCAGAGGGAGCCGGCGTACAGCTTCCGGGTCATGTGGCCAGCAGGACTAAGCCGCTTCTGGCAAACCAGAGCAGCGCACGGAAACACCGTTTACCTTCCCACCAGAGCGGTACCCTATTTATCTACTTGCACTGCATGCTTTCAAACTTGCTAGGTTGACAGGAGCAGGGACCGAGCAACGGGAGCTCACCCCGTCGCAGGGATTCGAACCACTGACCTTCTGATCGGCAAGTCCTAGGCTCTGTGGTTTAACCCACAGCACCACCCGCATCCCGCCACAACCCTATAGGTCGCCTTTACTGGACTTAACTGTCCAGGGGTCCTTTACCTTTACCTATTTACAGTGGAACCTCTACCTGCGACCATAATCTGTTCCGGAGGTCGAAACGGGTTGCTGGGAGAGGTGCTGTCGTGGGCAGGCACTGGCGGCAACCACCGCTCCTGTGCATGCGCATGCGCAAACAGCGATCGCCACTCCTACGCATGCGCGACCAGTGGCAGAACTGCTGGTTGCTTCTGGGTTTGCTGCGGACACTGTGCAAATTGGGCACAAGTGGAGGTGGACGTAAGGAGAGGTCTGACTGTATTTATTACCCGCCCTTCTCCATAAGGTCCCAAAGCAGGTCAACAGCATTAAAAACCAAGTTAGAAACAATTTATAACCATGCAAATGAGGTGGATCTTAACAACGTTGCACCTCAAGCATCAAAAACCAGGACAAAGAGGAGAGCTTTCTCCAAAATCTGTGTAAGGACGTTGGTACAAAAAAATGTGTTATTGGGAGAGACACTCGTGCTAAAATGCTGATAAATTTTCAACAGGGACTTTAAAAAAAACCCAGTTTGTAAAGTAGTGCAGAATCTAAGATTGGGGGGAACCGAGGAACCGAGAGAAATCCAAACGGAGCCATTTATTTCCCCGTGCCTTCAAGGCAGCCCCTCTACGTGTGTTCACGAGGAGGAAGAAAGAGAGAGAGAAAGAGGGGGCGGCTATTTTTCTTGAAGAATAAACAAGCCGTGATTTCTCCTCCTCAGCCCTTTGCTTAAAATGAAGGCAGCACCAGGGCTCATAACATCCGGCTCGAGAGGCCGGCTTCTGTTATCAGGCAGGAAACAGCTCTGGATACATCCGCTCCTTCGCCTCGGCAGCCCAAGCCACCTCCAGTGGCAAGATCTGGCAGGGAAAAACACGAGTGTCGTGCCTTGATTCCTTCTCCTTTTGCACAGCAGGAGCCTTGCCTCTGCAGCTCGGGGTGGGGAAAATATTTTGCCTTCCCTAACAGATTAAGGCAAAAGAAAGTTTTCTGACTTGGAAGAGCAGGAGGATCTGTATGGCTAATGTCTCGCCTAGTGGCCTTGTCCCAGAGGTGGCCGCAAACCCAGCTTTGAGAGGCGTATGATAAAGATTGACCTCTTTCATGGAATTATAGGACCTTAAGGATGTGGGTGGCGATATGGGTTAAACCACAGAGCCTAGGGCTTGTTGATCGGAAGGTCGGCGGTTCGAATCCCCGCGACGGGGTGAGCTCCCGTTGCTCTGCCCCAGCTCCTGCCAACCTAGCAGTTCGAAAGC